CAGGTTCCTCCCGCTCGCGCGGCTCGAGAGACGCGGCAAATGTCTTGTCCCCTGACGTGGCGGAGTTTCATGGACTTTCAGGACGCTTTTCCACGAAAGAGGGTAAATTCTGCGAGATAGTTCTCGCAAGGGGGACGAAGGAAATCAATAGCGTTGCTAGGGCTGGCCGGAGAGCATGGGACGATGATGCTTTTAAAGCCCAAGCATCCGGAGCTCTCTGTGTAAGCAGAATGCTCTTAACACACGCTCGCAGGACGTCTCCTTTCAAATATTCCATTTGGCAAATGTAATTCCATGAAATCGGCATTATCGCGGGTCTCGCGTTTCGTTGGATTCTCTTTTTTTTTTTTTAAGTCCGATTGGATTATGTCCCTTCGCGGACTTTTATTAATTTCGCTGGATATCTTTATAATTGCCCTGTCGCGGTGACAATTTTAATTGCGAACCAAAAATGTTTTTATTCGTTGCGTCTCGGTGCCATCGAACTTTATTCAAAGATGCCTAATGGAGATCTTGAATTATTCCTCGAGTCGATTAAAAAAATATATACAGAATATATAAGTGCGTCAGAAATTGCCCTCTGTTAACGTTATAATAATTGCTTCCTATTGATCACGATGGGAACCCACCCGCCTATTGTTTCTCCATTTAAATATCGCAGTTTACGGTGATGGTTGATCATAGTTATTAACGGTCGTTATTAGATCACGATGTTGAACGTAATTGCTTTACAACAAGTGAGAATGTTCTCAGAATTTAAGGAAGTTATTGATTTAATCAGCGTACCGATTGAGAAACTTTGGTTCGCGTGTTGCGTAGGTGCGAGGAGGAAGATCGAAGAAACAAGGAAATTTCTTCAATAGGTATCGACGATACGAATACTTATGAGAATAACTGTATACGTAGCTTTTGGTATTTCAATTAAATTACCGTTGATTCCATTTTTTATCTATTACTCCAATACAATGTCGTCCATCTCTGGCTCCGACTAGGCATGGAAATGATCTTCCGGTGATCGTCGATCGGCGTCGAGAAGAAGTATGATCGATATCGTATCGAATAACTGTAAACGATGTTTCGTTGCGGAGGAATGCAGTCGAGAGGCGCAGGAAACGTCGCAAGGCCGGTCGTCGACACGGCTGATCGTGCCAATGTCTGTGCACTTGGCGCGAAAAGTGGTGTGCTCGAGTGCCACGCTTGCATTTGTTTAAGTTACATTCACGGTTGCTTAATGCACCGCCCACGCGATTCGGTTAAAGCGTTACGCGAGTCGCGTTGCGTCACGGCTTCGCGAAAGATTCCGTCTAAGGGATAGCCGCGCCTGGAGTCACTGAATGAGATCTCATCCCAAATGATTTTCATGGTTACTTAAAAATTTATCAATACATGAGAATGCATACAGTCATATTCGTAAGCAGTCGAACCTAAATTAAATTATAGGTTTAATGTCTCCGAACAAATCTTTCATTAGCAGTATATAGATGTGTAAAGTTTCTTCAATACACATAGAGGTACTTATGGGATTGACTGTATATCATAGAGACAATTTTCTTTTTTCAAAAAAAAAATTCAATAGGGCAGGAGCTCTGAAATAAATCGAGTAATCCTACCATCGATAGCCCTTGCCCCTCTGAGTCCCACGTCCATCCAACTTGAGCTTCCCGCGAGAGGAAAGGCGATTCCGCGCGATCCAGTTGAAAGTCACCCGTGAAACCGATCGATCGTGAACTTGTCTCAAGGTCGGGGTCATCGAAGGCCCGACCTTGACCTGCGGAAGAGTCACGTAACAGACTGGCCGTGAAAGAGGAAGAAGGAAGCGGTGACGACGACCTCGAGCGTGGCAGACGCGAGGGAGAGAAAGTGTAACCGATCCGAAGAGCTCGAAATCGAAAGTAATTTCCTCCATCCCGCTCTTTCTCCTTTCTCCGTTCCACGGTGAGTCCACGACGACGATTCTTTCTCCCAGCCTGCAGTGAATTCGGGTCAAGTTCACCGAGAGTCCGTCGGACGCTGTTCTCCTCTCTTTCTCAATTTCACTTTCCCGTTCATCCCTGTTTTCCTCGCCTGCCACCGATCTCTGATCTTTTCCCGCAAAATAAAGATATTCGAACGGAACCTCGGTTACTGCAGAAAATGGGGGGTAAATGTTCTTGCAACAACCGAGGTTCTTAGAATAACCAAGGTAAGTAACTCGATAAGTAGTTGCCTCCTCTGAAAGCTTTTCACAGGTATGAAAATTCCAGACACGGTTTTGAAATGCCGATTTACGAGGGTATCGGGTCTCTACCGTTTACGAGAGTCGGTGATTAGAGAGTCACTACAGTCGTTCTAGCGAGTGTACGCGCGTCGATCCCGCGGCTTTTACCGCCCCGACCAAACTCTCGTGCAAGAGAAAGTCGATAGCATGATCGAGTCCTTACGCGACGATTTCACTGCCACGGTCGGGGCGTTATTATGTCAGTGTCAATGGCACCGATCCGCTGCTGCACAGGCGCGAAGGCGAGCGCGCCAGGTAAGAGTTACGTCGTCCGCGGTTCGCTGAACCGAATTCCCCGCCATCTATCGGCCGAACCAACGCGAACTCAAGGTGAACCCAGGTGGAAACGCCGCGTCTCGAATATCTCTCGACGCGCTCCGTGGCCGTCGACTTGCTTTACGTTCCCTTCTCGACTCACGGGATGAACCTCCTCGCGCCGCGAATATATCAGAAGACGAGCACGCAGCGTTCTTTCTGGACGTGGGTGCGAACCGTGGAATCGAGAAGGCGAGACTCGGAGGTGTCGAGTGGCTTCCTGAGGATCTATGGAAGTAGATTCCTTATTTTTTCCTATTATCCAGTACGCTGGACTTGGTAATTTTTTAACTATGTTCGCTAGCTCGGTCACCGAACTTCGAAGCATTAATCAAGTATTGGCATCGTTCAATTTCTTAAAGAACTCTATGTGAATGCGTAGACATTGGTCTTCGTTTTGTTCTATATTTCATGAGTAGAACAAGAAGCAGACAAAATCCAGCAGAAACGAGGCACTCCTTTCATGAAAGTTACGTGTTGCTCTTGCAAAATAATCCCGAACGAAATTTACATTTATATCGTTTATTTTGTAGATCTGAACAGGTTCTACTCTTTCCATATTAATGTTTTCCCTTCTTTGTGCTTTCAACTCTCACACACACACATCAGTTCCGTTACGGTTCCTTTTTTTCCAAGTTCCAGCCGCTAATTACTCAACTCGTATACAGGGCGCCTCGATAATAGTAGTACAAGCGAAACGAGGATGATCCTCCGTGCATGAGTAAATTAAACCTGTAGTATAGAATTTATTTCTAAGACCTACCAGATACGCCTGCGACAGAGATCGATTCTTCGAAGGACCAAGTTCCTAACTTCGTGGATATCTCGGAATACAGATTTTCTAAGAATGCGCAGGCAGCCATACGCGTGGCGATTCGTCTTGAGAATCATGGGATCGCGTGTCCCATGATGCTGACCGATCGTGAGTCAGCGGTTTGAATTTCCAACGGCATTTACCAATCTTTGCCCCCTCCCCTGACAAATATCTCGAAACGAATTGCCGGATAGACCTTAACATAATTTCGACATCGTCCTTACGTGCCGGATACGCGGTCCATGAATCATACGATCGACGATCTATCGCGGCGCGGCTCTCTCCCCTTTGATATCGAGTCCGTCGAAGCTCGAAGCTTAGAAACTAAAACTTGAAACTAGAATTCGCTCAATTCCTCGATTTCTCAGCTTTAATACACCGAACGTTAAACTTTGGATTAGGATACCTCGAATGTTCGAGCGATAGTCGGTATATTCACGAGGTGGAAACGGTAAAATCTGAATGGACAGGCCGACGAATGTGTCCGGCTCTTATTCTACTTGTCGAAGTATACTTTCGATCGATGAACTCGAAGACCAAGAGAAAAGAACTCCATCCGAGGCAAGATGCGCTCGCAACGACGTGCGAAGCGCGAATGCCTGACTCGAGGCATAGTCCGCGGGCTCCTGCGCCTCTGCGCAGCCGCGATTGCGCACCGCGCTTGTGCCGGCTATACGTTAACTCTTCCTCGTCTTCTGGAAGCGACCCTCCAGGATCCACGACGACGTTCAGCTTAGGATCGTCGCCGGCATCCGAGATTCGAAAGGGAAACGGACTCGGATAGATCGACTCCGATTGGATCTGATTGGAGCGTTCTAAGGATCCTCAATTTTCTAGAAAATCTATATATTTCGAGCGATTTTCGATGCACCGAATCTTTTTTTACGAGTCCCATTCCGACACGAATCGATTTTTCTAGGTAATGAAATGGATCCTCGATTCGTGAAGCGATCTAGCTTTAGCTAAATCTTGGATGATTCTCTCTTCTTATTAGACGTTATGAACATGAGTTGCAATCCTTGGAGAATGTATACGTGTACATTCCACGCTAGTTTCCAACTGTTTCCACACGCATTTCTAAGGATCTCCTGATCCTCGGGACCTCCAAATCCAATTCGCTCCAAAGATGGACTCGGATCTCGATTTTGATCCAAGAACGATCGTTCCTGTTTCGAAAATGGAGATCGTCGCGCGCTAGGATCCTGTGTCCTCGGAGGTAGAGTCGACTGGGTGGTTGTGAGAGAAAAGGGAGGCGAAAATGAAAGACGGGGCGAGGAGAGAACCGCACAAACGCCGGGAAGGATCAACAAAGAGGAGAGGAGAGGTTAGAAGGGCGGGAGGGGGCTGGAGGGGAGAAAGGTGAGAGAGAGAGAAAGAGAGATAGGAGAAAGGAGGAAAGGAACGGGACGGGAGAAGAGAGGATGCTCCGGTGTAGCCGGCGGGCACACATCGGGCTCCTCTCCCTCGCCAATCGGCGCGCGCGGCGTGGGGCGAGTTTGAGGTAGGGGGCCGCACGACGCACAGCGGTGGTGGCGGTGGCGTGCTGCGGCGGCGGCGGCGGCGGTGGCGGCGGCGCGGCTGCCAAGGTATTTAAGGTACCGTGAACCGGCGGCGCACGAGTAGTTCACTTCTGTTCGGTGCGGTGTCGCGGTGATTTTGAGGGGACTGAAGAGACGAGAGGGACTGGGGAACGAGAGAAAGAAAGAACACGCTCCGAGCTCGCATCGCCACTCGAGGGTGCGAGGTGACGAGCGGCGAGATATCATTCGGTGTGCCCCTAGTCCTCGCGACGTACCCGATCCTCCCCCGCGTTTTTATCGCGCGCAGACGGGTCATAGATCAGTCGCGAAACCCGTCGAGGGACGTTTATCCGTCGGGACACACATCAGTGCAAAGGTTTTTCCGTCGACCTGGTTGAGCTGCGCCGCCCACGCGTTCCTCTCGTTCACGAGTCGGGACAGCGACACACCTGGGAGAACGCGTCGCTGGACAGGATCGTCTTGGTCGTCCGTAGTCGACGACCGCTCTGGATAGGTAAGTCTCATCTCGAACAGTGCGAGGACTATTGTGAAGCCTGCGATAAGGGTGGAAAAACAGTGACGCTGTGCGTTCACGCGTGCACGCGCCGCTTCTCCTCGATCTGGTGATACCAAGTGATCAAGATCAGTGATTCTGTTGCACTGTGCTCGCTTCGAGCCTCGTCGCCCGTCGTCGACGATAGCCCCGTGGATATTATGGACTGTGATTATATGTGCCTCGCCGCGGGATATTCTGATCTGAGAAAAGTGTTCACTCACCGGAAGTATGTGTAAGGGCCGCTCGAATCGCGAGCTCGAGAGACGCGACAAGTGATACGGCACGGGCCTCCGAACGCGATCGATAGGATCGCCGATCGGAATACACCTGTTACGTTCGACCTCGATAGGCCGCGAATATAATTCACGCTCAATCGAACGGGTTTGCCTCGATCCACGGATAATCGAAATCGAAGCGCGCAAAATTGCCGCGGAAGGCGTAACCTTCGAATATTATTCCCTTGAGTTTGATTTTATTATTGGTGGACTATTAGAGATCCCTGTGTTAATTTCAATTTATTTACTTTCTGTGGGAACTTGCCCTGTGACACGAAGAATCGAAAAGGTAGTTTTGTCAATTACTAATTATTCCAAGTTGGATCCAACCGTAGAATCTCCTGACATCGAACTTTCGTCAATGAGGGAATACTTCGAAAATATTAAACAAATTTCAGTCACGGCGTAACACTGACCCTCGAGTACGAAATTCTTCGAAGAAAACCCGGCGCATTGAACGTGTTAACGGCCTTCCCCGCGAGCGTCATCCGCGCGAAGATGGACCGGTTGAACTTGAGAAAGAGTCAAAGAGAGGCCCGGGCCTAAATAATTCAAGACGGCGTGCAATAGGTATGCGTGTCGACTTGCAGCCACGAAGGCTACTCGGACGTGCACGAACACTTCGTACAATTAAGAAACAGTGTCTGAATACCGAGGCAAACCCCGCCCGATACGTGAATACCAATTCGACGAATCTCGGGGGCCTATGACGTCCGTGAAGCTTCCTCGATTACGTCGAACGAGGAAAAAAAGTAACGATCCTTCCAGGAGCCGTAGACGTAACGGTTTTTCGTGCAACCGTTTGCATAATTATTCTCGATACATTGGTTGGAACGATAATTGTAAAATTGTGCGAGGTTGTCGAACGAGCTGCGACACGACGCTGTTGAAGTGTGCTCGTTCGATGGCAGCGTCGATGTGCCGCTATTGTTGTAATTCGATGTGCGATTTGTCGTAGGAGAGAGCGTTACGTCTACGGTTTACATTCGCCTTTAATCGCGTTGGAATTAAATAATCTACCGGGTACTGTTTAGGATTTTAAACAGGTTTTCGAAGAAGAAGTTGTGGGCCCCAATGATTCAATCGAGGTGAACAGTCGAAATTATATTTTTTCCCGCGGCGAGGGTCGAACTTTTTCTTAAATAAAGCACTAAATTTTAATGAAACAATTGAGAATTGAGTCCTAACCCACTATGATATCCGAACTTCGCTGGAACAGTTTGAATTAGAGTCCTGTGTCTCGTAGCGCAAGAAATTCGCGGGATCGAGGGGTCCTGGCTCCCGAGGATCCAGCCGCGATCCGATCGTGCCGTTTAGTCTCTAACAAAGGCGAACAGTCGAAATTGTATCGATTTTTCCGTGGCGGGGGCCGGCTGTTAAGAATATAAAACAGGGTCTGGGTTAGGAACGCGCGCCAGCATAATGAGTCAAAAGAAATTCCAGGGATCGGAATAATGGATCGTTCCCGTGAGCGACGCGCCAACAGGAACGAAGAATGTAAACTAGGAGAATCTATAGAGGCCCGCGGGACCCCTTTGTGTCCCGTCGGTTCTTCCTTTCCCGACGACGCCGCGTGACGCGCGCCAACGAGCGTCGAACTCCCGACCACGGTGGGCAAAATTCTGATCCGAATAAAAAAATTCGAGCAACCAATTAGGGACGAACTAGTTTCGATAAAAATTACGCATTAGACTTTCAAATAAGGATTCCTGATAAAAATGGTTCGAAAATGTAAATGGAAATTCAAATTAAGTTAGGATATAAGTAACAATTCGATAGAAACACGAAAAGTTAACCGCTCGCCACTGTCAGTATTTGCGACGATAGATGCTGGACTTTTTGCGCACCATTCGTAACGAGCTCGTAAAAGGTATATAAAAATAGACGAATCCAAAGTGACCATGCTACTACCTCTGGAGCGTGCACGCGCGTTCGACGATCCCAGCGGGCGGAAACCATTCCGGAGAACCGATCCTCTGCTCGCGAGAGAATAAAGGGAACGAATTTGTCACGGTCGAGGTGCGCTGGAGAAGTCGCGATTGCATTACGATCTACGATCACGACGTGGACTAGAGCGCGCGTGGCTGATCCCATACGCGAGCCAAGCCTGGCCAGGAAACGCAGGGTTGCTAATAAATGATTTTCCTTGCCTCCTACACCGAGGTATAACACATCAGGCCAATTAATTATGCGACTCGGCTAATTATCGCGGTGAGCCGCGATGGTGTTTCTATTTCACGCCGCGGTAAGAATTTCCACGAGTACACGAGGTTCGATAACCGACCGTAGCCGACTGGTGCATCTGAGTTCCGAGTTCAGTGTTGCCGGTCGTTACGCTCCTATCATAGCTTCGAGTCGCTTCGATGGATTCATCGATCAAACCCTAACGCTGTGATTTATAGTTTTCTTCTGTGTCTATAAATTTAACTTTGGTTTACTTTTCTAGTAGCTTCAGACGTGACTTTGACCATCGAGTCACGTATGCGCGACAGCAAAGTGCAAGCGCAAATTTTTCACGCGTCGGAAGGATCATGCTTGTACAATACGCTGATTACCCGGGTTCTTGCCCACGGTTCACCCGTCTAATTGCTAATTACTAAACGCTAATTACCGAGACCGTCTTTCTGGCCGCGTGCTGGACGGACAGCAGGGGTCTGGTGCTCGTTACACACTGCGACGAAAATGAAATAGAGTAACGTCGTGTGTATGTGTGTAAGAAGCGATCCCAGGTACGCGAACCGCGAGCAATAACCGTGGAGAATCGATCCTACGAGGAGCTCGATTGCGATCGATCGCGGATAGAAAGAAAGGGTGATAGATTTTTTATGTAAGCTGCAGCTAGCTTCGTGCGAACCGAGCATGTTCGAGTTAGGTACACCTCGAATAGATATATCTTTAATTTATTTTCCATATTAGCATGCTACCATATGAATTTAGCATATTCATTCAAAATTTCCAAGATTTAGACTTTAATTTATTTTGCCACGTGTATGTGTATCGCTCTTGATCCCATCCCTATTTATGAGCCCAAGTTCTGTCGTCGCGTCGTCGTTGCGTCCAAGCTTCGCGAACGTGGCATAGAAGGAATAAATCGTTTGCATTTTAAGCGGAATAGTAGCAGGTTTCGAATTAGCTGCACCAGGATTTAATTGCTGCCAGTAATAACAGGCTCCCGGGGCATGTAACGTGGTCGGACAGTTCTTTTCCTCGCGTTTGCCACGGCTCTCCCTTTCGCAGAGGCGAATATCAGTTTTTGCCCAGCCAGACGAGCGGCTCTCTTGCGGCTGATGGTCCGTTGGTTTTAATGTACCCCTGCAAACGATGTCGCACAACTTCTTGGCACGACACACGAGCTGAAACATCGTTCTCGAACGCCTCGACACTGTCGTTGCAGTTGCTCGAAAAGCAAGCTCTCGCACACGTAGAACAAAAACGTATTATCGTTTTGTAAATTTAAGATCTGGGATAAACGTCCCTCATTGAACCACCCTGTGACCTGCTGAAGAGTTAATCCAGGTTTCGAGCAAACGATGCGTGCACGGATTAGGGACGCCAATTTCGCGAGTTAAGCGACCAAAAATATATAGGCGCCATCATCGCAGTGAAAGTATCCGTGAGCCAGATATCGTTGGGCAAGAATTCGTGGTGTTACATGCGTACGACATCCCGGCCCTCCATTCGGGTCCTCGCTTGAGCGAGCGTTCGAATCACGTAGGCACATACGAAACGGTAAAAACCCAAAGATGACACGGATTCCGGTCGCGCGATGCGCTGCTTTTGAGGAAAGGTTATTTAGCGTCTTGCATCGAGTGCACTCGAAGGATTTTCCACAATTTTTCAGTCACCTCGGATCTTTGTTCTGACATTTCTTTTTTATATATCTGATTTTTGTATCGTTAACGAAATTCAAGAATTTTCCCTTAAATTCAATTTTTGACACTTAACTTTTGAAATCAATTTTTTGAGTTCTTCAGTGAAAAGCACCGTCACTCATATATGTCACAACGTGTTAATACGAATGAAAGAGTCCTTACTACTACCTTTTCTTGTTTGTGATTCTGTTCTACCATCGTTATAAATTATACATTAACGAGTATTAATGAAGACCATTTCCCCGTCAATCGTTTCAGTTTACTTCGACACGAGTCGCAGATATACTAACTGGTGGTCAATTTTTATCTACTCTGTCTGAAATCGATCGATCGATCATCTGGCCAGCGCCAAGTGTCGACGATAAGTGTCACTGAGCGCGAACACGATGAAGCCAATAACCGTTAGGACGTCGAGACGCATCTTTTGAGCGTCAAACTGTTTAGAGGCGATCGAGCATTAAAAAGAGGCTGCGCGTTCCATCGACGTGGTGTATAACGTTTCAAAAAGGAAGATCCCCGCGGACGCTTCGTCGGACACTGGCCTGGCCTGGTATTGAAAAAAGGGTATTAAAAATATCGAGCACGGAGACTCGACCCATCGGCCCGTGAAATTCCGTATGCGCCGCGCCGGGGAAGCACGAAAGAGATGATCAATTATTCATGCCCGTTAAACGGTCGCTGACGACCCTGGGCATTCAATTCAAATTCAAAAAATTATCCCGAATTTTCCGTCATCTCAGGACCGCTTACGTCACGGCTACCGTTTTCGATAACTCATGGACGACATAGAATATTAAGGAATACATAAAACGAGGCAATAGGCAAGGAATACATAAAATTCACTGATGAGCTGTCTACGATTTGATTACATAGTAATCTCGGTAACGTTAATTTTGGCAAGCTCGAACATTTGAGCACAATTCAACGTCCTGACGTTTGCGCACAATCCTTCCTCGTCTTTTCGCGAGCCTTGCTCTCTGCCAAAGAGGTTCCTTCCTCGTTCGCCGATAAATAGCTAAATAAACGGATCGACGACGGAATGCTAAACGTTTCCTCGGGCTAGACGCGCACAGCTATTCGAGAATCTATTCGCACGGTGCTCGAGGCGACGTGTTCCCAATATTCCACGCACGCGTTCCCACAGTACGCCAAGTGTTAATCCGACGTCACGCCTCGTTGTATCGCGGCACCGAATCTTTCCAAAACCCTTGGCTGGGCATGGTCGTTCCTCCCACGATTATCGCGGAATTTGGATACGGACGAGTTTGAGAGCGAATGCGAACGAACCGCTTGGAATTCGCTTCAATATTCGGATGTTGACTCGAGTGGACCGGCGCTTAAACAATTTCCTTTCGACATCGGGCACTCTTTTCACGAACGGAATCTGTTCCGAATACTTTCACGTCCCGTCACTGAGAAACGGAAGACGGGCTATCGGTTTTCTGTCACAACCGCGGATTATTCACGTTCGTTCCGTAGGAATTCCGGAAGACACGTCGTGCTTCGAGAGGACAAAGAAGTCAATTACGACTGTCCGGAGAGATCTTTGACTTTGTTACGCTCGTATATCATCGCTATTCGTGGAACAGTACCGAGAAATGGAGTGGACATAATTTATCATAGTATTTGGAAAAGTCGGAATAAAAGAAATATATTTCGATGCGGCAACCCTGGTCTTCGAAAGGAGTAAGGATGAATTAATGGACAATAGAGTATTTTAATATAGATTGCCTTGAAACGAATAAGTTTCGATCTTATTTTCAGTTCATCATCGGCGAATATTAATCTACGTAAAAAGTGTACAGCAATTCGTTTATGCCAGGCGAGAAGATTATCTTCTTGCTGCCATGATTAATCTTCGTGGGAGCCATAAACTGATTCCCGAACAATTTTCCCGTAGATCGTTATTGAACACAGACGTACATTAATTTCTCTCTTCTGACACGCAGAATTGCTTAAGTTTAAAAAATTCACTTCTGTTAAAGAACCCAGGGGAATGAAAGTTAGAAAAACTTGGTAGAAACACGACTTATGTAAACACGAATATGAAGATGTATGCGACACGTAACGTATCTCCGTTCGTTGATGGGTGCCATTATTAGAGGTTGGACACGCGACCCTTCGCGATGGAGTACACGCGGCACTGTTTTACAAGAACGCGTCCCGAACGGGTTTCGAACGGTTTTCTGTTCCAGCCGATTGAAATACCACGAATGGGTTTACCTTGTGATACTTCGTATTCCTTGCGTGGCTGCCCCAGCCCCGATGTCGAATGCGGTTTATGAGCGCTGCCCGGTAACCAGTCGTGTACTCGATAAAAATCGGCTACTCTGCCTCGACGAGATCGGAGGGAATTTCAATGCGCGCACGGATCGCCTGCGAGAGAGTTTCGGACTCGTCGCACGTATTGCACGACCGCACGAACGGTTTTTAGAACGTTAATCGACGAAGTCGCGTACCAATCGTTTTGTCAATGAAAATATCTCCTGTCCATCTGTATTGAGCTGCTGGGAATTGGGAGTCGCTGGCAGGAATTTTTCGAGGAAAAATTCGACGAGTACAGGTGTAAGATACTTTGCGTAACGGGCTACAATCGATCTCATAATTATTCGTAACCTCTATATTTGTTGAAGAAATTTGTCTAATTTAAATGAATGCTTCATGCTTCCAAATAAATTTATAATTGTAAATATATACGTGTGTGAAGTTTATTCATGTACATATTTATAATAGAAAATTGATTTGGAAACATGATTAGACAAATTTCTTCAATAGATATAGAGGATACGAATGCTTATTGTATGTATGTACTACGTACAACGACACAATTAGCCAGTACGTGTTGAGCAGTCGAAGATTAAAGAGTTTGTATACAAAACAAAAAAAAAGTGATACTAAACTTCTAAATTTTCAAAGCTCGATGATTACTCCAAAGTAATTGTGATACTTCTCTGAGACCTCTACTAGTCGTTTTGACCGTTAATATAATAACATTCTCATTTGACAAAATAATCGTTTCACCTGCTCTGATTCAATCCGCTGATTCACCAAGGCAGAAAAACGTCAGAAAGGAACAATGTCGTGGAATTCGTGCTGGGGAGAATCCTCGATGACTAACCCCAGCGGAACCTGAGGCTTTCGTGAAATTCGGTCAGTCCGACTGGCCTGGCAACCTAAAATATTTTAGGACCTAGAACAAACGAAAATAAAGGTGTAATCCAGTCTGCGGTGGTTTAGTGAACCTGCACTATTGGCCTAGTTCCCCCTAATAATGTCGGCATACCTGTCTATCGCACGACGGAATTGTCAGTGACAACCGGTCGGTGACCTATCCGTCTTTTTTCCTCGTCCCTCTCCCTCTGGATTTCCTCTTTCGCTCGTTTCTCTCTGTCTTCGCCGTGTACAAAGAAGGTGAGCGACGGGCACGCACGCGACGCTCGCCGTTTTATTCACGAAATAATCCGGTAACCGGTAACAGGTTGCCAGAGCTGTTTTATTGGGTCGTGTAATGGCCCCGGTAGAGGCTATAGATCGTTCCATTTTATAACACCGTCGTTCCTCCAGATCCTTAGTAGATTCGATCGCAGATAAGATCCGAAGGCCACGCTCACGCTCTTGTAATAGCTTTTAACGAGTCACAACCGCGTTATTACGCATTCGAAGGAATCCAGTTACAGATTCGAGCATTTCGTGAATAGAAATCGGGTTTTCCTGTTGCTTAGTCGTTTACTATTCAGTATTCGCCCAGGTGAACTAGATTTGCTACGAAAGAATTTATCGATGATCTTATGCGCTTAATCCTGAAGGTATGGGAGCCTCGAAGTAGCCATGTCCTTTTCGCTTCAGTCTATCCAGCAACCTAAATTATGTTTAGAACGATTAACCTTTCGGCCACTTGAAAAATAATTTATTTAAATACACCCATCACCAAATTGACTCATTAAAAGCAAAAACACCGAACAAACAACACCCGTCGTTCCATCGACAGAATAAACATCCGTCGATTGAAGAAATTTCTCGATCGGCCAGTGGCAGAAAGTTTGAAATAAACTACCGTTAAAAATGTGAATCGCGTCTACCCTACTCTAGCTAACGTTCGCACCGTGAACCGTTAAAACCCGATCGCGAAATAAAATTTCATCTCATTGTCGGCCGCGTGAAACCTCGCGCGATTCGAAATTAAACTCCATGACACATCAACTAAATCGTGCTCTCGAATCTAACGAGACGGATCGTCGATACGTCCAGTCCCGTCTCAAGAACCATTTCAAAGTGTCCTGTTATTTCTCTGATCCAAAACCGGTACGCGACGTAGCCTCGGGTCTCGGGAATCGAAACGCTCCGCTAGCACGACCGCGATTCAATTCCCGCGAATCTTCCATATTCGGTGCATCCTCGTAGACGTGTGTGTGGTTATCTATTATAGGTAGCAATAAAAAAAGAGAGTGGTCCGTCCGAGAGGGATGCACGCGATTCTGGGGAACCGGGTACCGTAAGAGCCACGGAATTAAGTACAATAGCGCGTAACATTATACAGTGAATTAAAGCCACGGGCGATCGTATCGACGAAACTCCCGACGTACAGTTACGACGGTCACTTTAGACTATGGAAAGTCTTACGTACCTGATTTTTCGCCAATATTGTCATCAGTTTCACAAGTTTTCTGGAATAAGTGCCTGGGAGTATTCTTTTCAACGCCAACGCGGGTTTCGAAGCACTTCGAAGTCGAACTCACAGAGTATAGGTTAGAGGAGAAGCGGCTCATAAGAGCCAATGTTAATAGACGAGTTTCAGCGCCCCTAGCGGGTGATGCCCGTACTCCGATCCGAAGTCGGCGGCAAAATTCAATTAAAACATCGTATCAAATAAAATTTGAAATTAAAATTAAAATTAAAATTGGAGGGAAAATAAAACTCGATCGTTTTTTATTCACAGTTCGACGTATTAATATTCTAAGAGTAAAAATTATAATGAATACAAGTTTTTGCTTATAAATAAATATATATTTATATAAAATATATGGTTAAGTTTCATAATAGTATTTCGGTAGAAAGTATAATTTACAGATACTATTCAACATAAGATCAATAAAATTTGTCTTTCAACGCCTACTTAATCAATAAATCTGAATATTCTACAGTTTAACGTAAATGTAAAATGTTTTATAAATATATAGACCTTAACCTTAATATCTAGAGTGCTTTGTACTTTTTAATATTATCCTATATGAATTTTAATAAAAAATATATTTTGAACATGACCTGTTATTATAATAATAATGATGATGATAACTTCAAAATTGACATACACGAACATCTTTCGGATTTCCCTCGCTCTGGTTGTTGGACAATTAATCGCGTTCGCTGTTATCCGGTCCCTGAATTGGACGAAGAAAGTGGTCGAACAGCGTGTAATTTGAATTTCTCTCGATTGTGGAATTTATGGTCGATTCGCGAGTCTCGTGGAAGGAGGATCGTACGAAGGAGGTTCTCGACTTACGAACTGGTTAAACGAGGGGTTTCGTGATACGATATCGTGGCCTGTGGCAGATACAAATTCCGCTGGAATTGATGGAACTTTACCGTTGATGAAACGCACGCGAGTCGGCCGTTTTAATCTGAGACACGGTTAAAAATGTGCCTCTAACATCTACGAGCGGATATAAACGCGATCTCGGGTGAGAACTAATCTCGAATGGTAATCGGCCCCTCGTAACGGTAAATTTTCTAACCGGTGCTTAGTTTCTGCTTTAACGCCATTAGGCGATCTCTCGAGGAGCGGTTGAGCCTCGAGAGTGTATGGTAGCCATCGTCGAGTTTCCTCGACTTATTCGTTGTAAAGTGTTTTCGTCGTCAGCTCGAGCAATACCCATTAACTCCTCGAGCATAGACAATTTCTGGTCGATACAAATTATTATTATTACACGTTATTTGGTTCTATCGAGCAAACACTCAAAGTCAAATCGTTGTAAATGCGAAACGAATTAAATTAAGTTTAGGTACTTCGAACTTATTATGGTCTGTTTTTAATGCGAGAATTAAACGTTAAAAAATTAGGTACGTTAGCGTAGCCGTTGAGGATCGAACTCGATGCAGGGTTATTTTTATTTTATTTTCCCTTCGCGTGGTTCCTGTGCATCGAAAAATAGAGCGGAACTGTGACACATAGGAAATCCCCGTGGTCAGCACAGTCACTGGTACACGTGGATCTTCGTATGCTCGTCCATACCCTACCCACCACTTCCTACTATTGTTGTCGGGATTTTCGCACGATTATTTGCGCGAGAGAAACGAGAAAAACTCGATGGCAATGGGCTAATTGAAAATTATGTAACGACCACTCCACGCTTGCCCGAACACGTTCTATTTTCTATAAATCCCATGAAATTGTTGCTAATATTCGTTCGGTCTACAAGTTAGAATCGAGACAAACCCGAAACAAAATAAAAGCATTATTTCATAAACGAAATTTTCTATAAAAATGTTACCCTGTTTCTCTAAAGTATCTTTGAGTAAAACGTACGTATAGCATGAACATGGATCTAGAAACTGATTTGATTCAATCATCCAAAATGTCATCATAAAATGGTCTCCAATCAAGGTGACGTGTTCTAAACGAACTTTCACTGTCCATGAAATGAAGCAGCCTACTAGCTGTCGTGTTGCAACCACTTCGAATATGGTCCAGCTTGGACCTGATACTCTACGAAACCTCGATGCATAATTGAACACTGTAGGAACCTCTCGCGTAGGCCCGTATTAACGTAAGCTATCAACCCACACGTCGTTTCGTGGGAGCGGTCGTGATTCGCGGGTAAATCGATTCCTGTTGGGAGTTATTATTAGTCGTACGACCTTGGTTCTCGAGGACCTCTTCCAGATCGCCATCGTCGTCACGTACTCGATCCACGATTCTACGAAAGTGTCGCCCTGCGCTTCGTGCAGCCTCAACCTTTGCAGCGATAATGTATCCAGCGAGGGGGTCCGGATCATTCGTCTTCGAACCAAGGGGATGATCTCCGTGTACCAGTTTCATCTCCTCGTTCTCCTCGCTGAACCACGGCGCTAGACCTCCTCGCTCTTCTCCCGTACGTTCCTCATCTCGAGTGGAAAAGAAACTGTCGCTTAACGAGCGCAACCACGGTACGATCGTTAATCGTCCAGGCGTTCGTATATACGCAAAAGTCACTCGACCATGAAGAATGAACTCTGGGAGAAACACGGCCGCTGGTACTCCCTATCTGTCCATCCTGATGCACCACGACGAGAAACCACCACGACCGTCGTCGCGCGTGACGGCCATTCCGAGATTAATAACGTCGAACCCACCTCTCTTTCGTTCGCATCCTCGAGGGTCTCTCTTCAACAGCCTCTCCTCTGTTCGACGTTGGTCGCCACCACGAACGAAAGTCATCCACCTTCGTCCACTACTCTCGAGTGCACGCTGACGGTGTAGAAATGACCGAGAGGGGAAAAAAAAAGGGGGAAGGTTAGACGAGACGGACGAACAGAAGAAAAGAAGAAGGAGGAAACATCCAGGCTGGTAGAACATGGTCTTACCTTGATGAAGACCATTTGCGGGGGCTTGTAATAAGATAGTAACAGAGTATGCTCCACCTCGACCGTTCCTTCTGAACCGAGTAGGAAGAGCAACGCGTTTCCTCTCCCCCGTTGGCCCCCGTCGGCCGCTTCTCCTTTTTCCCTTCGTATAACCTCCTCTCGTTTCGACCCGTTCCATCTCGCCGCGATACAATTTTCTTGCTTTTCCGCGACGCGCCAGCCGCCGGCAGGAACCGATATTAAGGCGTCGTATGGCCTCGATCCAATATGGAACCGATACTTCTCCCCATCTGCGCAGCCCGATTCTGCTGGAATTGATAGGGGGTTCCGCGCGAAAAGTCAAGAGGAAACCTGTAGAATTCTACAGACCTTTCCTCGGGAACGATATCGAATACTTGTAGGTGTTCTGGCTCGACGATTCGGAAAAGATCTCTGCGGAGATCCAGTCCTCGGGAATGTTAAAATTACGTATCGTAAAGCATCTTAACACGTTGATCGACATCCCATATTACGCCAACCCATATATACGGGTAACAGTGCCTTTCACCGAAGAACTAAAAAGATTAATTCAGAAGCATCAAAGGGAATGAATTTAAATGAAATTCAGGAATATCGATAAAGTTACCAAAATAAATACGACGATAAATCCCCTTCGAAGATGTGCCATTTTTTTAAAACTAAATTCCGCAGTTACCAGGTTAAACGATATTAAACGAGTCTCATCCACGCCACCCTCGGATCTTTTCTAAGCTGTCGGAGTTATAGGATGGAAGACCTCTCCCCTTGGAGAACGAGACCCGCGAAATCGCCGGACGAAGGATGTTATTACTGCCCCTGCCCCCCACCAGTGGTCGCTTAAATATCGGCTCTTCGCTCGGTATCTCGAATCGACTAGCAGCCTGGGGGACCGTAAAACTTAATTACTATTGCCGCGGAACTGGCGTACGAGGCAACTAAGTAGGAACGATACCATTTATAACGTATCGATTACCACGGTCGATTGTCTAACGACGCGCCGTTTCGTGAGTGTCCTTACGTGCGATTATCATCCTTTCAAGGCTGACGTGTCGAAGAGCGTCGACAGGTTTTGTCGTCGCATGAACCTGTCCCGACGGTGGGTCCCAATGGGCGGCAGAAGTCGATGGAGATCGTATCTAGTTCTTACACGGGGTAAGACAACTCCACTGGCCCTAAGCTGGGTGGCTGGTTCGTGGTTCGCAAGCTCGCATCCGGTTCACCGTCGCCACATTATTTCCCGTGCGCCTTGTCCTCGGGGCAAGAAGTCGATCTTTACCGGTTCGCCAGCGCTGGCTCTCTTCGACGGGTAACCTTTCTGCCGTGCTGTTCCTACCGGGGGCGACGAGAGGGGGACAGGGACGCGAGGGTGGCCCTGCACCTGGGCCACGGGGACAACAGTGTCCCGCTGTGTGGCTCGTGCACGAGCCGACCTTTCTTCTGCTTCTCTTTATAGTCCACTAACACCTCCGGTTGCCTCGTTCAACTACACCGACCGGCATTATTCTGATCGTGACGGCTATCTCCGAAGGTATGCCGTTTCAGCAGCGTTTTCTCCCTAACAATAAGATGTCGATGACGCCCCACTCCCCCTTGACAGACTTCTTTTCGCCGGATCTCACGAGCCAGCTCTCAAAATTATGTTTTCATGGATAACTTAATAACATCATAAAAGAGCACATATTTATATCAAACTATTTCAATGTTTCATATGTCCGCTCCAGGTCTGTGAGATATGACTCCCATATGGGAGTCATATACATATCCTGAATATCCTATAAAGTACATATTAAAATCCCAGAAAATTTCCAAAAAAGATAACGATCAAATACAAACCTGCACAGGCTTGCCAGAGCGATAGGGGAGCGTTTCGGCGCAGCCACACGCGAAAATATTTACTTCTTATGAAATTCAAGTAGGAATATCCGTCGGATCGTTCCACCAACCGGATGTACGAATATTGATCATCAAGCTCTCCGCCATTCTATTTATAGAGGGTCACCCGAACAACGGTGTCCCGTTGGTCAGTTCGCACATGACCTCGTGGATCTTCACGTTTTCTTTGCGTGTCGCACCGGCAACGCTAACAACTCGCGCCACCGAGGTGAAAATTATCCGAACCCAGCCGGATGTACGGATATTAATCATGCGACAGGACCGTCGCGCTTTTTACGAGGGGAGACGCGTCACCTGGACCAGGAGGATAATGGACTCCCTCGTTATAGATACGCTCGGATCCGTCTTTATTTTTGCTCGCCTTTTGTGGCGCGACGACCGTCAAACGCAGACCTGAAAATTAGTCAAAACGTCAGCCGAGCTGGATAA